AACGAGATCCGTCAACATATAATATCAAGGCTCGAGGGTTAGCATTGACGTGGGCAGTAGGATGACTCTTAGGCTTTGCAACTTCCGGAATATCAGCATTTCGAGGCATCTCTACAAGAATATCTGTGGATGCTTGACCCTTGATCGTTGTTCTTGGTTTGTAATCGATATGGTGCTCCCCCAACTCGACTGCCTACTTCATCATTCTGCCGGAGGCTTTTGGCTTGAGAAGGACTTGCTGAATGGGCTGTTCTGTTAACACTCTTATTGGATGTGCCTGGAAGTATAGGCGTAAGTGTCAAGCAGCCAGAACTAAACTTAGGCTAAGCTTTTCCATGGGCGTGTATCGTGACTCTACCCCTTGTAACACTTTACTAACAAAGTAAACATGGATCTCCTTGCCATCCTTGTTTTGGACTAGGACGGCCAAGATGGCTTTTCTCCGAGCAGCAAGGTACACATGTAGGGTTTCCCCTGGTTCTGGTTTGGCTAATATGGGTAGTCGTTTGAAATGCTCCTTTAGCTCCTAAAAGTCTTTTTGGCATTCCCCGTTCCACTCAAACTTTCTGCCTTTGTGGAGCGTGAGAAAGAATGGGAGGCTTCTTTCTGCGGCTAGAGAGAGGAATCTATTTAAGGCAGCTACGGATCCTGTGAGTCTCTAAACTTCTTTGACATTCTTCGGGGCTTCCATGGCTAGGATCCCCTCGATTTTCTCTGGATCAATGCTGATTCCGTCCTTGGAGGCATGGTATCCTAGGAACTTACCCGATCCCACGTAAAAGGCACATTTTTTTAGGTTGAGCTTCATATTAATCTTGCGGAGAATTGAGAAGATCTCGCGCATATCCTTGGCTACTTGCTCATCTTTGTTACTCTTGATCACCTTGTCATCCACGTATATCTCAATATTTCGACCAATCTGGTCATGAAATGCTCGGTTGACGAGGCGCTGATAGGTTGCACCGGCGTTTTTAAGCCAAAAGGCATCTTGTCATAGTAATATACCCCGATCTCGGTAATATAGGCTGTTTTTTCCGCATCTTCTCGTGTCATGAGGATTTGGTGGTACCCTTTATAGGCATCAATGAAGTTGAGCGTTCTATACCCTATGATTCCCTCGACCATCTGATCTATGACCGGTAAGAGATAATAATCCTTGGGGCAGTATTTATTGAGATCCGTGTAATATTGGCACATGCGCCAAGAGTTATCAGGTTTCTGCACTAGGACTGGATTAGCTAACCAGATTGGCCAGAGAACTTCGCAGAGGATGTTAGCATGGAACAGGTTTAACGTTTCTTCATTGATGACATAATTGCGATCTCGAGCGAATATTCTTTTCTTTTGTTGAACAGGTTTGACATTAGGATCGATGTTCAGCTTATGTTCAATAACGTCTCGTCGCACTCCTGTCATGTCCATAGGTGACCAGGCAAATATATCGTGGAACTCACGTAGCAAGACGATTACCTCGGCCAGCAACATTCCTTGCAGAGATGTCCAGATAGGGATCTTTCTCGTAAAGAACCAGCTCTTGAGTTTTACTGCTAAGTGGTGATAGATTACCAGCGTCGTGATCTTTCGACTGTGGTTGTGTCGTTGTATGTTGGACCGAGTAGCATCCCGACATGGCAGTGACTGTGTTAGACTTCCTGGTCTTCTTTCCATTCTTGACTGCCGTGAGCAAACATTCTCTGGAGCTGCGTTGGCATCCTGGCACCACCCCAACTCCGCATTTTATTGGAAATTTCATCACCAAGTGATAAGGAGACCAAATTGCTCGGGCTTGACACATCCATGGTCGTCCTAGAATTACATTATACGGCGAGGGTGCATCTATTAGGGAAAAGTCCATGGTTAGTGTAACGATCCTGGGATGCCACCCTACCATGATGGGGAGTCTTACGATTCCTATTGGAATAATGGTATGACCTGAGAAGCTCATCAATGGTAATGTTACTGGGCGGATATCGGGGTTTTGGATGTTCATCTTTTTTAAGCAATCGCTGTATATAACGTCGACTGCACTACCGTTATCCACATAAATCTGGCTTACATGCACGTGTCCGATTATTGCCTCGATAACCATAGTGTCGCTGTGAGGACAAATATCAGGGACCACGTCGCTATCAGTGAAGGCTATGGCCTCCGTTCCCTTAAACCTCTTGTGGCTAGGTTCTTGGAGAGGAGTTTTTGCGACAGTCTGTACTAAGTTTTTCATAGCTTTGGTAGATAGGACCTCGAGAGGGGCTCCATAAATGGCTCCCACCTGATGAGTGATTTGCTTGGTAGGATCTACTGGAGGAACGTGCTGAAGCGGTTGTGGTGCTCCTTCAATAGCTTGTTGTGGAAACTGCTGTGCATTGTTCCTTGGTTGCCAATTATTTCCTCGGTTTTCTCCTCGAGGACCCCGGAAATTTTGTCGCGGGAAGTTTTGAGATCCGATAGGCTTACTGTTCCTTTGTCGAGAAGATCCCTGCACATATTGCTGAAATTTCCCAAATTTGACTCCATTCTCGATTTCTCGCTTCAGTTCTCGACATTCCTCGATATCATGGCCGTGGTCTTTGTGGTACTCGTAGTATTGTTCCGTTGCCCTATTTGGATTAGGAGCCAAGAGCTTTGGTGTCGACAGTTCATCCTTGTGGATTTGAAGGATTTCACGACGAGGTTTGGTTAGAGGGGTCAACTGTCTATTGAGCTTAGGCAGCACTGTCCTGTTTTCCATGGTAACTTTAGGCTTATCCCTCGTCCCGATTGCTATAAAGGACTCCTGAGATTGTTTGACTGTATGCTCTCGTTAAATATGATTCTCGACAATAGCCCACATCTCCTACGAATTTCTAGGAGGTTTGGTCGAGAGTTTTAACCTTACCATTGAGGATTTTCCAAATGGATTAAGTCCTTGGATGAATCCATTCTAAACGTCTCATTTGTCTATACTGTCAATTTGTAGGGTTTTTCGGATGAAATACTGGTGGAAATCAGAGAGACTTTCGTGTTGACCCTGCTTAATCGAGGAGAGATCAATGGACATCCTATTGATTTGATTACTCTGAAAGAAATAAGTGGCCAATTTGATGTATAAGTCTTTAAAACTGATTATATTTCCTTCCGGTAACTGTCCAAACCATCGCTGCGCTTGCCCGGTCAGATAGGAGGGCAAGGCTTTAGCCATGAAGTTTAATGATGCATTCTTGATTCTCATGACATGGACATATCCATGTAGCCACTGGGAGACATCAGTATCTCCTGAGTATTTGGTGAAATACTTAGGGAAGTCAAAGTCCTGGGGCTTTGGCTCATCTTGAATATCTGGTATAAAGGGGCTACGATCCACAACCATTCCAATGATCCTTCTCATCTCGTCTCGTATCGAGACATTTTTCCCTCTTATCATCTGCTGATCTTGAGGAGGGTAAGGTGGAAATATCCTCGTGATGGTTATACTGTTGTTGCCTGGGAGGTGAATACTGAAGACAATGGTTATTCTCCCGTCCATATTCATCTCCGGAATCATCATTGTCTCGAGCCTGTCTGTGAAGAGGTCTGTAATCCTCCCTTCAAGGACTTTTTCAATGCAAGTTAGGTCCCAATCGGTCATGGACATTGGTCTTTCTCGGGGGAGGATTCCACTCTCCCTCTTCCACGACTTTGAAGCTTGGGGATCCTCGTTGGTAGTGGTCTCGGGGACCCTTGTGTCTGTATATTGCATCAAATTCTTCGAGAATTATATCAAAGGTAGGGTATTTCTTCCTGAAAGCTATCCAGTAAACAGTGTCTCGTGTGGGGGTTGAATGATCTTCCAGGAAGCCTTTGCGATTTGAGAACTCCTAATAGTCTTCTTCATCCTGGACTTTTCACTTACCTTGTCTTGCCTCGAGAAGGGCTAAGATACGGCGTGCTTCCTTCTTGTTGATTAGGTCAGCGAACTCTTGGTCAGTTGTATCTAGTTGTCCCAGAAAACAATGACACTTTGTTTCGTCTAGGACATACTTTTTCATCCTTTGATTTTGATCACTGTTATCGCATAGTTTCTTGAGTTCAGCCTCGATCTTGGCCAACTTTTGATCCTCTAAGCGCTTCTTGGACTGCAGAGTTCCGAGGTGGACGTAGATCTTCCTTTTCAGTCGCTGGATTAGTATTGTCTGGTTTCTTCGGATTGGGTTGGGAGGAGCCAAGGACCAAACGTTCTTTCTCTGTTTCTTTCTCGGGTCCTTTCTCATAGCTTCTTCTCGCCTTCTTCTTCTCCTGTCTTTTTTAGAACTCCGCCAGGGTAGTGTTATCAGCCAAACTGTGCCGCCTACCCGAAGATCCTGTGCTGGACTCGTCTTCTTCAACCCTAGTCATTGTGCAGATGGTTCCAGAAACCTTAAATTGTACCGGAAGAGATTAGGGAAACCTGAGAAGGTTTTCGTGACACAAACTCTAGTTTTCGTGTCCCACTAGATGTGCCACTTGACGAAGCGTGAAATTATTTTCCGGTTGTATGTGGAACTTTGGTAGGGTTTAACCTGCGAAACAGAGCCTCGGAGGTCTCTCGAGGGTAGACACTCCGATGCTTAAGTCAATAAAAGGGTTTAGAGAGCGTATATGAGTAGTATTGGTACTAGAGATAGCGTACCTCAATTGTGGTGTGATCAATCCTATTTATAGGCATAAAGTTACCTGGGGAATACCCGAGTCCTACTAGGTTTCGTATGGCTCAAACCGCCCTAGTAGAGTCGGCTGGCAATTGCCGGATGGGCCGGTCCGATGTCAGTGATGGATATGGACTCGTCAGCCACCACAAAAGTAAAAAAGGTCCAGTTATTATTTTTTTCCCTCTTTGATAAGTTAAACCACATCTGCACATCTAATTCCATATTCTGCATGTTTTCAAGTACAAAAGAACAAGACCAAGATGACTGTAGCCTACTTATGCAGAAAAAGACCAAATTTTTATGATGCTCAAGCCACCAAGTACTACATTCAGGGAAAAACAGAATCCAGAAAATTGATCAAGGCTTCAGAACGCCCCTAATGAAGTCTTCCAGGTGCAAGACATCTGCAGTTGAGCCAGAAGCCTCACCAATTGTCACTTGGTTGAGACACTGGGAAAAGTTGAATGGCTCCCCTGGGGTCCCAAGTGTAAACTCATTAGTAACATCCGCTTCAGAGACAGCGGTTCTTGATGCCCGAAGTTTGTCAATTTCTTTTTCCAGCTGCTTCCTAATGAATTCCTTTGTGTGAGCAGTGACTTTTTCCACCTTGTTGCAAAGGATAAGACCCGGAATTTTTCTGTTCACAACGTTCGCACTAGTCAGAACTTCATAGAGGTACTCTATAGCTGCGTGGCAATTTGGTAGGAATTCGACAGCATCCACAACAAAAACAATACCAGCTGCTTTCGGCACATAATCATCTAGTTTCGTTCGAAGGCGAGAATGCCCAGGTACATTAACAACATGAATAGGCTTAATTTTACCCTTCTTAATAGCCTCTGAGTGCAACACAAAGATGCCTTCATTGGGTTCAACAGATGTCACAGTACCTTGGTGTGAGGAGCCATCACGTTTGAAAAGTCTAACAATTATAAAGAGAAGCACAGTGAATATGATAACTGCAATGGCAGCATAAAGTTGATTTGGCGATGTCTTCTCAATCAATTCCTGAGCTTTCACGATCAATTTCTGGGCGTGTATCTTCAGTTCAGTCTCTAGGTTTTCCATACTCTTCACCCTTACAAATTGTCGATGCCCCTCAGTTCCCACAATGATGTATAAATACACCTCCGTCAGCGCGGCCGAATCTCATTAATAGAGAGCCGAAAAAAGTCCAGATAAATTGTAAATAAAACAAATAAAATCAAACCATTAAACATGGAAATTCACAGATTAATTAGCCTTGATTTATTTTTTTCCCGATTTTCTCCAGTTTTTCGTCACCGTAAGAATCCTCAATATCAAACAAACTAAATCAATTTGGATTGTAAGATTGAAGCTTCATGAAGCGCAGAATCCATTTATATCTTCTTGGTAAATTAAATCTGCAAAACAGTACCCAAAAAAGTAGTTTTCCATGCCCACGTTTCAAATCCTGCAAAACAACCGTCGCGATGCTTGATGTAATATGTTTTCATCTCCGAAGAAACCCATTTTGATTCAATTTGAGGGGAAAAGCAAAATTTTAGGTGATGATAACCGGTTATATAGGTTGATTGATTTTAATAGTAGAATAATACTATGTGCAAGACTATAAAAAATTTTATGATGTACCTTATTTAATCCTATGGATATAATGCACTTTTATCATCCGACGGTTAATATTGATGACTGAATAGTTCAATCGATTGAACCAATATATATATATATATATATATATATATATATATATATATATATACTAGTGATGTCTGGTCGTGCAATGCGCGACCCTGACCCAATATATCTGTAGATCTTAGAAATATTTGTATCTGGAAAAAAAAATATTTTGTATTTGGCCCGATATATTTTAGAAATTTTTGAAGAATTTAGAAATGGTTTATAAGTGTGATCATAGAAATGTTTATATTTGGCATAAAAAGAAATTGTATTTGGTCCGGTATATTTTAGAATTGTTTGAAGATTTTAGAAATGTTTTATAAGTGTTACTTCTTAAATATGAATAAACTTGATCAAATATACCTCTTGAAGTAAATGCTAGACAAAATATGAAAGCATGCCAATAAGTTTAAATATTAGTAAGATAATTTATTGATGTTCTCCATTGGTTGTGCCAAATCAATACTTAGTTTTGGAGATTTATAATAGTTTTGTAGTAAGCTTCCTCCCAAGGGTATACGCTTAATTGTTGGAACTATTTCTTCTAAAAGTTTATAGGTAATAAAATATCAAAAATATTATTTTGAAATTGGTTAATCACAAATATGAGAATGAAAATAATGTAAATTTGCATATGTTTCAAGTTATAGCAAAAAAGAACTCACCTCACCATGGCAAATAAAGAAAAAAAAGAAATTAAAAGATAACCCATTAAAAATTGAGAAATTTATTTGTATAAAAACACAAATAAACGTAGAAACATCATTCCTTCCCTCTCCGCCTCAAATTCATAAAAGGTTTCCCCATAAATTAATTAGAAAAAACGACCTGAACTATTTATATGACGAGGAACTAAAAAAAGTCCAAAAATCAAATCCAAAAAAGTATATATTCTTGAAAGTCCGAACACAAAAAAAAACACGCTTCATTTGCAAATATAATAATAATAATAATAATAATAATAATAATAATAATAATAATAATAATAATAATAATAATAATAATAATAATAATAATAATAATTGGTCAACTGGGAGTATGAAATAAAATCAAAAGCAATTAAACAAAGAAAATACACTTTATAACTGATCATATACAAAAAAAAAATTGAGACTCCATAATTAAAAAAAGAAAACCACCCTACTTGAGTGAAATATAAAAAAAAAAAATTTAAAAACCACATTTTGTAACAAAAACCCAATTAATGAATTCAATCCAAACAGAACTAAAATCATACATAAATTCTAGGCTAACTAACTATATAAGAAATTACATCATATTACCTGATAATGGCTACGGTAGCTGTAATGGATGGACGCATAAAAATAATAGTAATAACACTATTCTTGAATGGGAAAAATAAAAAATAATAAAAGCAAAATAAATGATCTGTAAAAATAAAATCATTTAAATTTTAATACCTGTAATTGCACCACCAAAACGGCCGAAGCAAAATCAATGAGAATTTTTTTTTTCCTTTGTGTTTATATAGAGAGGTAAAAAGAATATTTTTTGAAGTCGAAATGTAGTTGATTATCACTAATGAAAATATTGAACATGCTAATTGGAATGGAGTATATTTCACCACATATTCTCAACTGATGATTAATGAGGAATTTATTTATTTATTTTTTTTATTGTGGAGAAGGGATTGATTAGGGAGTCCATTGTAGTAGAGATGGGGATGAGGATTTGGGTTTTTTATGAACCCATGATTTTTTTTTTTTTTTGCCGAAAATAGGAGGTGGAGGTAGATTTGGACTGCATTTACCTTTTAAGTCTAGGAGATGTGAAAATAAAAATTTATTTTAAAAATATGATGTGAAAATGCCACATGGTAAATGGTGTTGGTGGTTTTTGTTTTTAATATAGTAAGATATATATATATATATATATATATATATATATATATATTAGTCTGCGTCCGGATAAAAATAAACACGAACAGAAACAAACTAAAAAAATCTTCCAAAACAAAGTAAATTTGATTTTGTTGTTATTGTTATCAATGCCGGGTCTTAATTTGAGCTTGAGCATCTTAGTCCATGGTCTTAATTTCACACGCTATATGCATATAAAATATGATTATGTTAGGCTCCTTGCGCACATGACAGCCGTGAAATTTGCATCCTGTCTTCCTTGAATAAACTGATGCTAATTAGATATTCATATATGCATTATTAGATTATTAGCTAGGTTGACTACTACTCGGCCTCTATCAAAATGATTGTTCCCATTGAAATTTCCCGACAGAGACAGACGGAAGCAGACGAGAAGTTACACGGTGGAGAAAGAAAAGTGCGTTGACAAATTGTGATCTCAACCTTGGAAGCTGGATGGAGGAGATCTGCGAAGTGAGAAATTTATGAATGAAAGGGAAGATATGGCTCCCGGAGGCGGCCGTTCTTCTTCTAGTCAAAGTACAACTGATCATCATCAGCAGCAGCAACTGATCAACAAGATCAACAAGTTGTTGAAACTAAACAATGAGTTGAATTTAAAGGGAATATACCTGAAACCAGAACTGGTAGAATGGTACAAATCATTTACAGAGTTACACCTGAGGTGGGTGAAAACCATGGTGTGTTACACTGGGAAATGGAGTGAGGAGGATAAAGCCAATTACCTTCCATCATCAACAACCCCGCGCCTGCAATATCATCTGGATCAGATCTTCTATTTCGTTTCAGGGTACCATTATCGGGACCACCAAACCACCCAATACGTTGTTCATTTTGCTAGTATGGCGCTTTCAAAGGGCTCCGGTAGATGGCCCCGGCATCTTGGGGAATTCCAGGATCGATTTGCTCTAGATTGTGGCAAATTGTTGAGAATCATGAAGTCCCAACCTCGGGTGCCGGGGGTCGGTGATTTTTACGAGTTTGAATCCTCGGTTCGGGAGTTCCTCGGGAGTATACCACTGGAACTGGGGAGTTTTGATAGGTTGGTGAGGAATTTCAGACGATTTAGCAGCGGTCATGATTGGAGTACTTCTCTCTGTGTTGCGGTGGACACAGAAACCCGGGCCGTTGCAACTTCATTGCAGACTCTGGCTCGTTTGATTCGTAAACTTGAGCAGTGGCTGTGCAGCTTTCCTCATAAGGTACTTTTTTCTATCTGTTATAGTCAAATTCTTTCGCTCAGATCTGTCTCAGAAAATAAGTTCACATTGTAATTTGAGAGAACTGTACTAAAAATGGTACAGTTTTCAAACTGCGAATGTCTGACTATTTTTCTGAGACAGATCTGAACCGTGATTAATCGGAGACCACGGAGTTCATCATTGTTTTTTGTATCTCTATTCACTCGAATTCACTCGTTGTTTGCTAATCTAGTTAATAGTGAGTGATTGTCTTTTAACATTGAAACTGAAAGAAAAAAACCTCAAGTTTGTCGAGAGATAGACAAAGCTGGATTGATAACACTCCTTTGTGGTTAAATGAGTTGCTTAAGACCGATTGTGTTAGTTCATTGTAATTGCTTAAAGTTTTCTCTGTTTTTATATATCAATATGATTATCGCTTTTGACAAAGGAAAAAAAAAAGTAGAGAAATAGAGGTAAGTGGGATTAACTTGTAACACTGGATAGCGTTACTCAGCCTAAAAATCACATGTGGAATGAGGAGTTTCAATAAACACATTTCGAATTATTTATAAAAATCTTTGTTTTTCTTACTCCCCAAATTACGCGTCTCACTTTGTCCGATGATGTTAAAAGCAGGAACAACACGAGGAGAAGTTGCAGGGCTGTATATCTGTGGCAGGCGCGCTGGTTTTGGAAGTGGTGCTTGTAGCTTCGCGGAGTCAAATGCTAAATAGAAGTGGTTACGTTATTCCAAACACCATGACTGAAGGTTGTGCCGAAATGTCACGGGCGCTTTCAGTTCAGAATCCACAAGTGACGGAGGTTTATGGCCAAGTTCTAGACGTGTATTGGGAAATCATAAAAGTGGCTGCACAACAGATCCATGATTTCAGGGCCTTTCTCCAATTAGTAGAGAAGCACGTTGATATCGTTCATGATATCTTGGATAACCCATTGATGGATTTGGTTGAGAAACTGGAAGATCACAATAGTAAAGTGGAAACTTGGCTTAAGCTAAGATTTGCACCTGTAGTTAGGGAAGCCAATTCTTTTCTAACTTCCGCAATTCCAAACATTTTACACCTGAAATTGCTGCAGAAACTTGAGATCATCAAAGCAGAGATGTTCATCCAGGAGCTACATCATCTCAAGTCCAAATTTTGTGGCTCCAATCGAGCTGCTACCATACGGGATGCTTTTCAACTCCTGAACGGATTGTTCAACACACCAGACCCAGAGGTGTGCCTGGATGATGCAGGAAAAGCGGCATTGATTCGCATTGAAGCTTTGTTTAGAGAAGCAGGAAGATTGACAGATGATGTCGCGATGTTTAAATCAAGTCTCGGAATGTACAAGCTTTTCAAGCTAGAAGCGACAGTAACGGTGTTGATTGACACTGGGGAAAGCTCGAAGTTCCAGGCCAGTTATCGGTTAGAAACTCTTCAGAAGAGTTTGCTTTTCCTCAGAGCACTTCTCTCAGATCCAACAAATGATGACTATGTGGAGGATGGAAATGTCTCAACATTTATTGAAGCACTGGTTGATCAGACAACAACTCTGGTCTGCTCCCTGGGCAATTACAAAATTGAAAAGAATCAGCCAACAAAATTTGATGTTTTTCTTCCCCATTTGTCTAAAAAGATTGAGCTTAACTCAGCTCAGATAAAGGCAGCTTACCAGGAAAGTCACTGGAGGCCATTCTTAAGTTTCCCGAAGAAAGACGGATTTCACTTTGTTGTTTCTCTCCTGGAAGACTTGAAGAGGTTACTAACAGATAAGCCTGATATTGTTTCTTTCTGGAAAGATCAAGTTGAAGAGTGGCTCGCAGAACTAAAAGTGCTGTGCGCTTTTCTCAGAGATTCGGATGGCCAGCGGCAAGTTACTTCTGAGGAGCAACACCTGATATGCCTGATATATGAGGCTGAATATATCATCCAGCTTTTTGAAGTTAAAGATGGTCCACCTGTATGGTTCCAGAAGATGGTGCTTTTCAATGCCATTGAAGAAATCAAGATGATCAAGTCACATCTCCTTCAATATTTTAACCACAACAAAGCAACAGCACATGATGATGTTCATCAACCACCTCTGGGAAGTGGGTTGTTGCAACCAAGCAACCCCGCAACTGATGAAGTCGTAGTCGGGTTTGATGATCATGCTAATTTTATAATTGATAGCCTTAAAAGTGGTCCACCAGAAAGGCAGATTCACTCAATTGTTGGAATGGGAGGACTTGGCAAGACAACATTGGCAAAGAAAGTCTTTGATGACATTTCAATCCAGTACCATTTCGCAGTTCGTGCTTGGTGTTCTGTTTCCCAAGTGTATCGGAAGAGAGACTTGCTGCTGGATTTGTTGGACGATTTTGTCCAAATTACTGATGAATTCAAGAGAAAGGATGATAACGACATAGCTCAAACGCTTTATCAGCGCTTGAAAAGAAAAAGGTACCTCATTGTAATGGACGACATGTGGAGCATAGAGCCGTGGCGCGACCTGATGATTTCATTGCCGAATGACAGTACAGGGAGTAGGATTTTATTCACGAGCCGATATCATGAAGTCGCTTTGCAAAGGGAACCTTATGTTCTTCCTTTGCTCTCCGAGCGTGAAAGCTGGGTTTTATTTCAAGAGAAGTTATTTCCTGGAGGAACCTGCCCTGAGCATCTGCAACAAGTGGGAAGGCTAATTGCAAGAAACTGTAAGGGTCTGCCTCTTGCAATTGTGGTCATAGCTGGCCTTCTTAAGAACATAGAGGTGAGAAAAAATCGGTACGAAGAATTTGCACACCGTTTCAGGACATATATAGTTGACAGCCAACAAAGCCAGTTGATGGATATCCTGGAGTTTAGTTATCATCATTTACCTCCACATCTCAAACCTTGCTTTCTTTATATGGGGACATTTGTGGAGGACCAAGAAGTCCCAGCTCAAAAATTGAAAATGTGGTGGATCGCGGAAGGATTCATTCAGAAAATGGCTGGGAGCAGCTTAGAAGAGACTGCAGAGGCCTACTTGGTAGAATTAAGAAGTCGAAGCCTGGTGATCGAGGCCAAGAAAAGATCTACAGGCCGCGGAACTAAAACATGTCGTATACACGATATGTTGAGGGATCTCTGCTTGGAGAAAGCCAGGGAAGAGAATTTCATGCAGTTGATCTCGAAGAGGAATGCTGGAGGTAACTCATTTACTAGCATGTTGTATCGACTCTGTGTCCATTCAGCAAAACGCCATTTCGTTAACTCGGAACTTTTTGGTCCACATGTCCGTTCACTACTGTACTTTCCCACCGATGAATCAACTAAAGGTTCCAGTAAAAAAACCTGCAGTTTTGAAAACTTCCAACTGCTCAGAGTGTTGGATTTGGAACACATGACTCTAGGCAGAGGATTTCCCCCTGGGATCGAGTCCATGATCAGGTTGAATTACCTGGCGGTTGGGGGGAGTATAGGTTCAATTCCTTCGTCAATAGCTCAACTCTTGAACCTGGAGACTCTTATAGTAAAGGGAACAAGACCTCAAGTCGTGGTACCAAGTACACTTTGGAGCATGTCTAGGTTGAGGTATGTTAAGATAAATCCTCGAGCTGTTTTTGATCTCTCTGGCCCTGAATTCGAGAATTCTGTGGTGTTGGGTGATCTGATTGCCCTTTCCTCACCAGTTTTTGGTCTAATAGAAGAAGTGGAAAAACTGTTGAAAAGGTTGATTCGGTTGAGCAAATTGAGAATCATCCTAGGACGGACCTCGTTGTGGCATTATTTTGGTAAGTTTCCCGAACTGGCCGGCTGTTTAGATCGACTGGAGTCACTGAAGATATCATACCATGGTCCGGTTTTCTCAGTTGGAGTCTGCTTTCCATTGAATCTGAAAAAATTGACAATGTCAAACTTTCGCCTGCCATGGCGACATATTGAGGCCGTTCGACAACTACCCAATTTGGAAGTCCTGAAATTGGAAAGCAGAGCTTTTGAAGGGAAAACATGGGACATGAGCGACGGCGAGGATGAAATCGAGTTTCCTAAGCTGAAATATCTGAAGTTACGCAATCTGAATCTCGCAGAGTGGAATGCGTCAGCGGATAATTTCCCAAGTCTCGAGCGACTAGTTGTGCAAAGCTGCAGAGAACTTGAGGAAGTCCCTTGCAGTTTTGGGGAGATATACACATTACAGATGGTTGAGATGAAGTGGTGTAGCCCATCTGCAACAGCTTCTCTTGATCCAATCTGTCAGCAACAACAAGAAGAGTTGGGAAATTTGGAGTTCAAGGTCTTGAAAGTGGACTAATGGATGATAAAGTCGGTCAAAAGAGGTAAGCCAATTCCATTATTGACGCAATTAATATATTCTCGTTGATAGAGTCCATAAATTGTCTTTAATTGTTGATATTTTATTAGTTTATGGACTTGGATATATTTAATTCATTGATTTTGTTATTATTTCATGTTAGGAGCTGGAAATAAGAGATTGGAGGTGTTTTGGGCTAATTTGGACGATTAGGGACCTGATTGAAAAATTAAACAAGTTTTGGGGAAAAAATAACAAAGACATAAACTTGGAGGACCAAACTGAAAAATTCGGGATTCTTTTCTCTTCCTGTTCGGCTGACCTAAACTTTGAATAAAAAGAGACACTTATATTTTATTTTTAGGGCAGCCGTGCATAGGCCAAAGGCTAGCACCTCAAACCTTTTATTTCTTCCAATTTTTCTTGAATTTCCATGGAGAATAAAGCCGCCATGTTTCCGTCCATGAGTGGCTAATGATTTTCTTTCTGATTCAAGGGATTTATTCAGTTATTCCATTATGAGGTTTTGTTCTTAATTTATTGTTCTTGCCTATGATTTAAGTATTTGTTGATTCTTGTATTAAGTTATGAAAGTAGATGTCATTCAAATTGACAACTTGATTTGTTATTTTCTTTTAGTGTTATCTGCTAGTTGAATGTTACGTAATAGACAAGAACCGGCAGTACTGAGTAACAATTAGACAAAGTATTGGTGAGATATTAAATATGCATGTTAGTTTAAATGTGGAATCAATGAGGCAAAGTCTAAATAGTTGCAACTATCTCAATTGTTTAGATTTTGGTTCAACTATATTTCCTTGGTATTTATGCTGTCATTGTTTGGTATGGAACGCTATCGTGCCCAGCCGAATTATGATAATGGCTAATTGAGTGCTAGGCTTGATTAGTTAATTTAGGAAGATTAATTGATTTATTACGGCTATCCTAATAGATCTTTGGTTGAATGCTTAAATTGCAAGAGTAGTTTTAGTAGCCTGTTATTAATGAAATAATTGAGTTATCCGTCCCTTGAGTCAGAAGTCTGTTACTTTGATTTCTTTTCATTTATTTAGTTTTTGTTATTTTAATTTCATTATCATAGATTTAGAACAACAATCCAAAAATCCATCTTTGCATTAATTTGAAGGAAATGATCCGTTGTTCCCTGAGGAGACGACCTTACTTCTCTATACTACGTAGTTTGAAGTATAACCATTTATTTGTATGGCTTGACACTCCATCCCTCTGCATGTTTCATGTTTTGGTAGCCTGGTAGGGAAGATCCTCCCATTTAGACATTGATGAATAAACCAACCACTGTTCATCATTGCAGGAAAGAAGCGCACATATATATATATATATATATATATATATAAAAGAACTAAAAAATCAGAACTTACTTCCACAACAGACTTTCTCGTTAGCTTGCTTTTTCTTTTTCATATATACTTTTTAAACAATAATTTTGCATATACATATGCATGTCTTGTATCCCTGGAGAATTGTTAATATATTGTATTCTTTTGTAAAATAATTGTTCAATTTGAAATTTTACTAAACTTAAAAATTCAAGAGACAACTATTTCGAGATCCGGAGTCGGAGGCTAAACTAAGTTAAATTCTTGTTTGATGGAGGGAGAAAATGAACTTAAGGGACTCCATCTAAGATGGCTACATACATTTAAGGATACGGAATAGGGTCATCTTTAGACTAAAACATACGCATTGGGTGATTGTTTTTAGTAACTCATTTTTTTTGAACTAAAACAACACTACAAATTATGAAGTGAAAATGGAAATCAGATGGAAAAAAAGTGTAACTCTTTTCAAAACTTTAGGAACAAATGTTGCCCCAACAATACTACTCCACATTGCCGGAAAAGAGACCAAACATACCAGGTTAGCAACTGTCATCGATATAAACCAACGGATACATCCCAACTGTCGGGGAATATATACACCTGAAATTTCAATCGGTGCAGGTAGAATAGAAATAATACATTTCCAAAACCATCAGATTTTGTAGCTTGTATAACCTGAGCAAAACACCATATCAGAATTAGAACTACAAAAAAGTGTAGGTTTTCAACAAATGAGGAAGCAATGCCTCTTTAGCTGAAATTCTTCTCCCCTCCTCGACTAGCATTCGGTGGCACTCTTTTTTGCAAATCCTTGAGCAAATATTCACAATCCTCCAGAATTTGCAGCAACCATATGAGAATCAATCTCAACCACGCACGGAACAGAGGATTTGGATGGGCTAACATAAACAAGTTCGTTTGTTGATTTGATTCCTACGGATTCTAGCCTTAATTGTATTCCACTAATTCACCAAAAAACCACTGATAATATGCAAAACAAGTAGTAAAAGGAAGTTTTAATTAGCGACTGAGAGACACAATCATGAATCGACATAGAAATTTCTTGTTGGTGTACTAATTTTTGGACCTTGGAAAATTCATCTGTGTTACCAGTTTAACTAAATCTAGTCGAAACCCCAACACAAACATGAAATAACGGTCAAATCTAGATTCATTGGATAAGTATTACCTTCCTTCAGAACAATTTAAATATGCATCATGGTTTAACAATATATATATATATATATATGCATCATGGCCAAAACGTTTTTTTTTTTTAAGGAAAACTATTTCATGACCTCTCAAGAATTTTCATCTATTCAATGTTTCAAACTAAGGCTGAGTGGGTATAGAGTCTCAAAAAATAGAAAGGTGTTTCTTTTTCTTTCTTTTTTTTTTTTAATTTAAAATTTTAATTTTCGTCACCTACTCACATTTCCTATAAAAAATTTTCAAAAAGAAGTTACTGTCCACACTAAAGCAGGGCATTGTGGGTGTGCAAATTCCAAAGTTATTTTTTTTTTTGCTAATTACATCCGTCCAAAAATTATTGTTTAGTAAAAATTTTTATTTTTAGTATAGATTGCACTAAAAGTGAAAAACTAAATTGGACCATAGTTTTGAGACGGAGGATTATTTAATAAATTTCTAGGATTGATTTGATTACCTATCCACTTAATTAACTTCTCAGACTTTTGTTTTTTTTCTATAAAAAAAAGACATTGAAAGTATGTCTTTATACTAATTAGTCCATTTTTTTTTTCATTCTACATCAGGTTGCAAAGTGCTAGCAATATTTTCTTTCTCCTTTTCTATATATTCTTAAGCTAGGATCAAACAAATTTTACCTCAAAATTTCAAAATTATAGGGATACATAACGAACACAGCGCGTGGGCAGGATAATCCTAGTATAATACTAACAGGTGAATTACCTTTATTTTATCCGTGATCTATTTATCAGTTTTTTTTCTTAAAGAAAATAAAATGGTTTATGAATTTTTCCTTTAAAAATTGCTCTAATAATATTTCTCCTGATAAAAATTTCACTCATTAGATTATGAATAAATAATGACTTGATCGCTTACTTTATATCTCTCTCGTACTTCTTGCATCCCAAAATAATCTTTCCATGGAGAGACTATGAGTTAGGACTATGGTTGATTTCACGTGAGTTTCCATATAATTTAATTTTGTAGAGACCATAAGGAATTGTTGGAGGCAAATGAAGCAAAAATGTCAAATGAGGCAGGCAGTGGAAATGCTATCGATTAACTAGCTTACTTTATTGGGGAAATGGCAAAGCTACACAAATGTATTGACTTTGAGATTTTGATGATTACTTATGTTTGGGAGAAAGCAAATAAGTTTTCCGGTGCATATGAAACTACATTTGAGACTCTGATTGTGAAAAGTGCTATTACCTTTTTCTTTACTAGAAATGTTTTTATTAAGTACTTTCAATTCATGGCAAAATATCTTTCAAACCGCATGTACTGTAATAAACTTCACATTTCCAAAACTTATTTATCTCAAAATTTAAAAATACTTCATATAAAATGATTAATATTGAAATTTAGTTGCTACAACTATTAATACTGGCCGCGTAGCGCGACTACAAACAAACTAGTTTACATCTCTCTCGTAAATTAAATTTCATGATCACAATGTTGTTAATCAGTGGAGCTAATACTCTCGTAATCTTTAGAATTTAAATGTCGAATAGCAGTAGCAAAGTTCTTTTTTCGTGAGATTTTTCCACATGCAGCTAAGACCTTTGGTGGCACAAACAATAAAGAGCTTCAACGGATCTCACTTATATAATCTTTTCCTTCCAAAACTATTATCGTATTCCTTACGTACCCACATATATACAATAGTTTTTAGGAACTTATAAGTAATTAATTAATAATCTAAACCCCAATGCAACTTGCACACAAAGATTATATGTAAACCAGGGCACCGTTGAAGAACTGCATGGAATCAGATTCTCATTTCTCAGTGTTTTCAAGCCACTACCATTGAACTAGAAAACAATACTACTACTCCAAAATCCCGAATTTCTCAAACCATATTTTAGCAAACAGAAGTAATTAACTTGCAGTCTTACACCCGAGAGAAAAGTTACTTAAGCAGCAATTACTGTCATAATACCTTAGTAATACCATCTAGCTAGCTTCAGAACATTCATCTTCATCATCTACTGGCTACCATATACATTCTCACAAACGTCTTCCTGATGATGCGTTACAATCCGTAAGTTGTTTGCTGTGTTACTAAATTTAAGCTCCAAATTTTTATATGGTCCAAAACTTTGGGGGTAAAATGCATTAAGTTAATAAATTTGGACATTGAAATTCTGTGGTCGAAACGTGTGGTGAGAGGTTAAGCTTATTGGCCAAAATTGTGATTTGTCCTCATATCAATTAATCTACTTTAATCAACATTCATCTTTGATGATGACATGAAAAATAAAAAATAAAAAGCTCTTAAATCAGATGCAGGGTAATGATTGAGAAAGAAAGAAAAATTACAATCACTTTAGTATATGTGTATTTCACTCATTAATAATATCTTAAAAGATAATCATTTGCATCATAACTTAAGCTATCGATTATAAATTAACATAAGTTTTCACTTAAAATCACTATAATATTTCACTATAGCAGAAAATCAGGCAGCTTTTGCACCAGGGAGGTCGATTACGGAAAATGTGCTCATTGCCATGAGGTGGTAGAACATATCAGGAAAAGGAAGAAGGGTAGAAAGAGCTTCATGGCCCTAAAATTGGATATGAGTAAGGCTTATGATAGAGTATCCTGGGTGTTTTTGCAGAAAGTGATGGAGAAAATGGGTTTTTCAGGAAGATTTATCAGATGGGTGATGCAGTGTGTGACGACAGTTAGGATGGCTGTGTCCTTTCAAGGGAAGTTGTTAGAAGAGTTTAGTCCTTACAAAGGACTGAGGCAGGGGTGCCCATTATCACCTTTTCTTTTCATCCTGTGTCAGCAAGTAGAGTCAGCAATGCTGAATGGGGAGGCATTTCAAGAAACTGAGAAAGGCATTAGAGATTCACAAGGTCGACCGCCGGTTTCACATCTGATGTTTGCTGATGACTGCGTAATCTTTATGAAAAATTCTGTACAAGGGGCAATGGAACTCGCTAAGATTTTGAAGGTTTTCATGGAATATGCTCAGTCCTAACACTGAGCAGTCACGGGAAACATATCTATCTATAATGTTTAATGTTAATAGAAGGATGCTAGATGGTAAGTATTTGGGGTTTAGCTTGGACTTTCGAAATGGGAAGAACCACATCTTTGGAGATTTAGAGAGAGAGATTAGAACAAAGATAAAGAATTGGAGAGTGGAAGATTTGTCCATGCCTTGTCGAGTGGTGTTGGCAAAGCATGTTTTGGGCACAATGTCTAACTACACACTGGGGGTTTAAAATCTCATTTGGGACAGCAAAGAAAATTGACCAATACCTAGCTAGGTTTATGTGAAAGGGCGATGTAGAGGGTAAAGGAATGCACTGGAAATCCTGGCAATTTATATGTAGATATAAGTGGAGAGGAGGACTGGGAATGCGAAAGACGACGGAGATGAATTGAGCGTTCCTGGGAAAACTCGCTTGGAAGGTAGGGACAGATGAGAATTCCTTTTTCACAAAGTTCTTTCGGTCAGATTATTGCCGTCTTGGACAGTTTCTGGGATGTACCACCCGGGAGTGGGGCATCATGGGGGTGGATGTTGGGACAAAGAATCCCACATCGCCCGTGCTCAGGATCTGAGACCTGTTTATAAGCTACAAGGGTCACCCCCACTCATTGCCAATTGTTTCTGAGATGGGA